ATTTCACACATTTCAAGGGCCTCTTAAACAATGTATTTTAAGGTATTGGGGTGGCTGTGGCAGAGTGGTTAGGGGAATTGTCCTGTAACCAGTTGGGTTGCCAGTTTAATYCCCCRTTCCATCCRTCTCAGTCACTTGCAAAGCATCTTTGAGTGTCTAGAAAATACCATATTTTGACAAAATCCAATTGTAACTTTATCCTCGGATCACATTTTTGAGGGACTCTCAAAGCTTTAAAAATATTTGACTATGTTCAAATTAATGTTAAAGACTCATGGTGAGCATCTGAAACTTTTCTGTTTTATCGCTGATGTCTTGAACTCTGACAGAAAAACTATAGTTTGCAAATGTCCAGGTCTAAACTCCTTGCTAATGTTAAATAGTTATTGTTTCTTTTTAAATGTCTTAATCTTCATCTCTATAGTGTACGCCAATAGATTAAATCATAAATGTGAAAACAGCTACAAAGATGGTTGCAAAGGTGCAATGTGGGCAAATGTGGACTAAAAAATGTTTTTTTAAGATGCAGTTTTGTAAGCTATTCACTCAAAAATTTGTTGCAACATGTTGTACAAATATGTCCATCTCAGAGGGATTTGAATAGTGAATGTTTTTTATTTTATTTTAAGAGGAGTATTTTCAATAATGCAAGTAAACCTTAATAGTATTGAAGCAAGATACGGCAAGTGGATAGAAGTTGGACTGTGTATAATAGAGGAAGTTTATTTATTTATTTATTTATTTATTTATTTATTATTTGAGGCAGTGCAGATTGACAGATCCAGGTGAGCAGTTTTATCCACCACCAGGTGCAACAACAGACCCAACAGACTTTGGACTTTCTTCGAAGTCAAAAGTTTAAATACATCGAGATTACTATGCCTTTTCAACCATTTGGGACATTTGATGWCATGTCTTTGGAAGCTTCTGATAGGTTTATTGATAACATTTGATTTAAATCGAGACACATATGTGTCTGTAATTTAGGGCACACCTGAAACAACTTCCTTGTGTAACATCATGGGAGAGTCAAAAAAAATCAGTCAACATAGGAAGAGAATTCTGRACTAGCACAAGTCTGATTCATCCTCGGGTGTAATTTCCCGATGCTTAAAGGTGCCTCATTYATCTGTACAAACAATTTTAAACAAGTACAAACAAGATGGGAAGGAGACYGGTTCTCTGTCCCAGAGATGAACATGCWTTGGTCCAAAATGTGCATATCAACCCAAAGACCTGGTGAAGATGCTGCCTGAAGCTGGTAAGTGTATCATTATCCACAGTGAAACAAGTGCTGTATCGAAATAGGCTGAAAGGCCACTCTGCCAGGAAGAAGCCATTACTTTAAAAAAACATAAAAATGCCAGATTAATGTTTGAAAATGCACACAATCACAAAGTCATTTTAATTTTTGGAGACATGTCCTGTGGTCTGACATTGAAATTGAACTGTTTTGCCATAATGACCATCGTTACATTTGGAGGAAAAAGGGTGAAGATTGCAAGCCTGAACACCATCTCGACTGTGAAACACAGGTGGCAGCATGAATTATGATGAAAGAACATTATGTAGAAATACTGAAGCAACATCTCAAGACATCAGCCAGGAAGTTAAAGCTTGGGTGCAAATGGGCCTTCTAAATGGACAATGACCCAAAGCATACTGCCGAACTGGTTACAAAGTGGCTGAAGGATAACAAAGTCAATGTTTTTGAGTGGCCATCAGAAAGCCCTGTTCTCAGTTCTATCAAAAATGTATGGGCAAAGCTGAAAAGACAAGGAAGCAAGGGGGCCTAAATACATGGCTCAGTTACACCAATTCTGTCAGGACAAATGGGTCAAAATTCCTGCAAACTATTGTGAAAAGCTTGTGGAAGGATAACCAAAATGTTTGACTCAAGTCATGTAGTTTAAGGCCAATAGTACCAAATACTAATGGAGTGTGTTTAAACTTTTGACTTTGAAGAAAATGTAAAAAAAATTGCCTTAAAACATCCATGTGTGTCTTATTATATAATGTATGTCAACTTCTGGTTTCAACTCTATATACATGGACAAAATTGTTGGTACCCCTTGTTTAATAAAAGAAAAACCCACAATGGTCACAGAAACAACTAGAATCTGACAAAGGTACCGGTAATAATAAATAAAAATCTATGGAAATGAACAAATGAAAGTCAGACATTGCTTTTCAATCATGCTTCAGTAGAATTCATTTAAAAATAAAACTCATGAAATGGGCCTGGAAATGATTAATTGACCTTTAACTTAATATTTTGTTGCACAATCTTTTGAGGCAATCACTTCAAAGGATTCCTTTAACTGTTAATGAGACTTCTGCAGCTCTCGGCAGGTATTTTAGTCCACTCCTCATGAGCAAACTGCTCCAGTTGTTTCAGGTTTGAAGGGTGTCTTTTCCAGACGRCACGTTTCAGCTGCTTCCAAAGATGCTCAATAGGATTTAGGTCAGAATCATAGAAGACCACTTCAGAATAGTCTAATGTTTTCCTCTCAGCCAGTCTTCGATGTTTTTAGCTGTTTTGGATCATTGTCCTGTTGAAGACCTGCGACTGAGACCAAGCTTTCTGACACTGGGCAGCACATTTTTCTTTGTAATCCTGATGTTACCATTAGKTTTATCCATCTCTTTAATTTGTCGTCAATTTTCCTCCTGCGGCCACGTCCAGGAAGGTTGGCTACACTTACATGAATCTTAAATTTCTGAATAATATGTGCCACTGTAGTCACAGGAACATCAAGCTGCTTKGAGATGGTCTTATAACCTTTACCTTTAACAAGCTTGTCTATAATTTTCTTTCTAATCTCCTGAGACAACTCTTTCCTTCACTTCCTCTGGTCCATGTTGAGTGTGGTACACCCCATTTCACCAAGTATCTGTAGCCCCTATATACAAGATTGTAGACACCTGTGATGCTAATTAGTGGACACACCTTGATTTAGCACGTCCCTTTG